GTCTACTTTTACGATTAAGTAAAAAAAATGTTAATAACAGAAATGAGGTTAAATTTGTGTTCAAAAAGGGCTCACCACTTTCGTGCCTTAAGTAACCCTCGTGCTATTGATAGAAGAAACCAGACAAGTAGTGAATAGGTCTTTATTTCGATCTTCGCGCAGTCACAGTGGAGCGTGGGATTATCTGTTCAGACAAACAAAGGCTCTCAACATTCAATATAAGATAATAGGGAATATAACGCTTATACAAAATAAGGAAGTGAATGAATACTTGAACAATACTGTTTTGGCATATGCTTGGTTGTTTGGGGTCAACTCTTAACCAACCAACCTAAGCTGTTACAAGTATGCCCTCAGTTAAGAGCATCAAACTGACCATCCGGCCAAATAATGTTCTTTGCATATTGGTCGTTATAAGCTGAATGAACTTAGTGTGGAGTGATGTTATCACAAACTGGAGAAATCGAAGACACAAACAGGTGAACAAATAATCCTAAGTGATAACTAATTTTATTTCGAGTGTTATATTGGAGATTCCTAGGGTTATAATTTTGAAGTATAATTAAATCTCCTCCATCATGTTCTCAGATGTTAGTCGCCTAACATTGTCGGGATAACTCTATTCCTTAGTGATTTATGACAGCAACTAGTAGTTGATGGCCTAAAGCGATTTTTGAGCAAGTAAGATACAACCCTGGCGAACGGGTTTGAACGGAGACATTGAGGGTGACAATCAAAGAAGTCGTTTGGGACGCACAAAACTTATGCTCACTTGAAGAAGCCAGTTGTTCAACGGCGAAGACGCAGGACAATAGGTGTGCTGTGTTGTTCGAGGGCATTATGGCTTGCGACTGATAAACGGACCCACCAACAACAACTTTAAACACCCACTCCTTGTTTATTCACTAGTCATATATTTCATGTTAATCATAAACGATATAACCTTTGTTGAATCATTTTTTCCCATCCTCCTGTTACTGTTTGGTATGCTATTTGTCTTTTTCTGTCTAATATACCCAACCATTTGTTTTCTATGTACTAACAGTGTTAATTCACATTTCAGAAATAGATAAAGTTTATCAAGCCAAATGGCTTACTTGTTCTAGCTTTGGTAAAACTAAGACTTTGTGCTCTGATGAGTAAAATTGTAAATGTAAAATATAAAATTTGTCTTCTTGTTCTTCTCTACCTGTGCAGATGAAGGATGTGCGTTCTGAGGCCAAGGGTCTCAGAATATTCGCAGACGTCATTTCGTTGTCGTTGCTCGAGAGACGAACAATATCTCTTAAATCCTTTTCGGACATAGTCCTATATGTACGTGTCTGAGTGTAAGCGAGTTCCTCTCAATCGCATTGTGTATGACACCGGAGTCTCGTTTGCCCTTGACTAGTGATTTTACCATCTAATCTATTTATTATATATATATATATATAAATACACATATATATAATGTTTAATCCATCCTACAGAGTACAAATAATTGATCATTTTTCTTCCTCTGCATTATTTCCCGATAGGTAGACTTTTCCGTTTATTCAACTCCTGCTGCTACCTTGGCGTGGTGGTTGGCTTGCCTATCGTAGTGAACCAATCGAGCTATACTGGCTGAAACGATGTTCCACAAGATCAGCTGAAGAGCGGAAAGACTAAAAGCAGCAAACCGAAGTTGTTCTGCTGACTGTACAAAAGTGTGGTGGCCATGTAGTGTTCCCCTCAGACAACCAGCATAACAGCTACTCGGCCTTCCCACAAGGGGTGGGGTCAGAAAAGGCCGGTGCAAAAAATACACACCTCGCCTTGTCTCACGAGTAAGGTCTCGAAAAGTGCGGAGCTAACACGAAAATTATTAACAAAATGTTCGTGTGTTACCGACCTCAACCAGTTGTCCCTTGGGTACTGCAGTTACGCTCTCAGGTCACTATGAACATACCTAACCCAATTTCAACTTTAGGTACTTCCAGAGGAACCCGTTAACAGTATAGGCAACGGGAAATGATAATCACCTTCATACCTCTAACAACACTCAAGATCACTGTATTCATAACCAATCTCCCTCTTCAATTCCTGTTGTTCCTCCTACGTTGACTTTCTACCCCAAACCTCCACTTTTGGCTTCCTCCTCAAGTGCCACCATAGCCAAAGTCTACTGAAACCTCACTCCAAACAACACTTTGGAGTCCGCAACGTACGCACCCTATGTAAAATTTACCAGCAGGCCTCCTTCGCTAAGACCCTAGAATCTCATTCGATTGATGTACATTGTCTCCAAAACACGCATACAGAATCCTAGTGTTGTCATTCACTTGACCTCATCTCACCAAAACGGAGGACCGACGAAATACACCATCCGTGTATCTGGCGATCCGATGGCTAGTTCTTGTGAACTGACAGGTGTAGGCATAGCACTAAGGACGAGGGTAGAACAACACTGTCAATATGGATTTCCGTTAACAGTCGTCCATGTGCTATTCGGATAAATGGCTCCGTAAGAAGTCGGAAGGATGGGGACAGATGTCGTTGCGTTTTGATAATTTCTGCCTACTCTCCCCCTGACTGCAGCCAGGATGAAGTAAAAGGTGTGTTTTACAAAAAGCTTTCTGAACTTCTTTAAAAAGCTAAACACTCAGACATAGTATTCGTAGCAGGTGACTTTATTGCTCAAGTTGGTAGCTTGAACCAAGAAGAAATACATTTAGATGGATGTTTTAGTGTTCCGGCTCACCGAACAAATAATGGTGATCTTCTGCTGCAACTGTTCTCAGAAAATCGTTCATTTTTAACAAGCACTAATTTTAAGCATGAAGACAGACATCGTCTTACATGGCGACCCCTTTCACAAAACCAACGATGGACTCAAATAGACCATATTGTCATCGGGGATCGTTTGAGAAGGTCGATAGAAGACTGTCGCTCGTTCTTGGATACCTGTCTGGACTCCGATCATGCTCTAATACGAGTACGCATCTGCTTGCACCTCACTGGACAGAGATAAGCCACAGTAAAAATACCCATTCGAGTTGAAGTGAGCGACGAGAAAGCTGAGGGTAAATTCCATGAACAAATGAAATCACACGTAGGCAATTTCAAAAACGAAGCTGACCCAGATGTTGCTTGGGAAGATATACGAACATCTGTGGAAGCAGCGGTGACTTCTATTAGTGATTTGAACCAAAGGGTCGCGAAAAACCTGTGGATTTCTGTCACAACTTTCGCACCAATATACTGTCGTGAACTTATCCTATCAGGCTCCGAACACGATGACGAGCGGAAAAAATTAACATCTAGATCAACTGGAAGTCTACGGAACGATGGTGAACAGTGGTGGGCAACGAAAGGAAGAGATGGAAAAGGTAGCCGGTGTCGGTAACACAGGATAGCTTATCAGACTAATAAAAGGAACCGGAATTAAGAAGTCACGTGTAAGTCAGACAATCTCGAAAAATGACACTCTTGACTGCTCCGTTTAGATGTTTAGAACAGTGAACGGAACACTTTAAAAGGCAGTTCAGATGGCCTGCAGCTGCCCACCATTCTCAAATAGCCTGAATGGAATAGACCTAGTCGTGGCTGCATTGACCACATACTCACCATTCGCCAGCTTTTAGAACACAGGCACGCTTATTGGCATCCGACAGTGGTGGTCTTTTCTGATTTAAAAGCAGCACTTGAATCTGTAGACCGAGAGGTTCTGTGGTGTACCTCAGTAGTGTATAAACCTCGTAATGGCCCTTTACTCGAACACTACTAGTTGAGTCAGAGTCTATGACAAAGTGTCATCTGATTTTGCAACCTCAAATGGTGTCCGTCAAGGCTGTTCACCATCTCCATTTTTGTCCAATTTCATCATAGACTTACTGATGGAAACAACGTTCTTTTCGACTGAATTTCCGGGCATCAATCTCCGACCAGGAAGTTCACTTATTTGTTTAACCCTAATGGATTGGTGCTTGACGAAACCTCTACACGTATTCAGCAAGCTCCTTTGGCTTTTGCCAACTCACGTCACCTATGGCGAAGGCGAGTTATCCGTCTATCAATAAAAGGACGAGTATACTGCGCGGCAGTCCGTTCTGTCTTACTTTACGGCAGCGAAACATGGCCATTAAGAGTAGAAGATACTCGTAAGCTACTAACTAGTATTTGACCACAGATGCCTTAGAAATATTGCTGGCATCTGCTGGGATCATCGTGTAAGTAATAGTGAGGTTAGACGCAGTGTATTAAGGAAGGATGGTAAATCAGTCGATAAGGTTGTGAATCTTCATCGACTGAGATGGTTGGGCCACGTGTTACGTATGCCTGAACACCGATCACCACGACGTGCAATGCTAACCGTGTTCGGGATGGTTGGAAGAAAGTTAGGGGCGGCCAAACAAAAACGTGGCATGTGTTTGAAGTCACTAACTCCTAGTCTCAGCCATGCTGGTAGATGCAGACTACTTGGTTGGGGTCCGCGTGACTATCGTAACCAATGGTTGGAGACTCTTTGTGACATGGCTCAGAATCGGTCACAATGGCGTCGGTGTATACACCCTCTGTCTTCTCTTAAACTAAGAGATTAAGATCACTTCATATCTTTCTTTCTGTGAACTAATTCTTTCTTCCTGTACTATATCCTTATTGCAATCATTCTTTTATATATTACTACTTCTGAATTAACTACTTCTATGAATTCAGTGTTCATCTTGTTGTGCTAATGAGGTGTGGCAACTTGGACCGATGTATATATGTGCCTACGTTGCAGCTGACTGACTTTGCCCTTGATTATAGGGGCTGTCATATTGATCTACTGTTTTTCCATTGCGCATGCTTGAGTTGTTCCTTTTAGGGCTGCAGTTCAGTTCCAGTCCGTTGGAAATACCTATCATCAATTAGTTTTTACGATTCCTAACGTTTTTTTTTCTTACGGTCTTATTTCATAAAAAGCTATTAGTTCCGCAGTTGTTGGTAGTTTTTAAAATCTAATATCTGCAACCAGGAAAATTTCAAAACAAATGTAGTGATCTTTTAAATATTTTAAAATATCTTGTACAGATCAGATTACCAATACAAAACCTAGATGGATGTTGGATACTATATATTCGCTGGGAAAAAACTCAGGGACACACAAGCACAAACCTGAATATCAGTTCTTATCAGATAAGAAGTTACGGGGGGTTATTAAACCATAAAGGAACTCGTATTAACCACTATTCACCAGCATACAGTCATTAAAATAAGGTCAAACAAAGATAGTATTACATTAATGATAATCAGGAGTGAGTAGGAAAAGTATAAAAAAATATCAGAATATACGATTGACTGACAATCAAACATGTACATTCGAACCTAACTAAACAGAAGATGAATAGTAAGTCGTCTATTCAAAGTTTAAAAACGTCTAACGATTTTAATAACAAGAAATAAGAAAAATTATAAACTGGACAATAAAAGATAAAATGATTAGTTACATTAAGCTAAACTGTCCATTGATTCGAATCACAATAAGGAAGCTAGTGTTTAAAAAAAATTACCATCTTACTGAATAATTAGGCTTCATTCAACCCATCAATAACACGTCTATCTCTATCTTTATTAAGATTATTATTCAAGACTTCTTTTATTGAAGCTATGGGTTCCAGATTAAAATGAATATTTGGATTCATATGAGGATCTAATAATGGATCACCAGTGATATCCTTCGGTTGAGAACCATAAAAACCCAGTAGGAAAATACATATTATACAACACATAATTAATAGAATAAGACGATTTCGTCGAATAACCGATAAACGCGTAAAGTGTGATGAATGCCTCCTGGAGAAGAAAATAAATAACCATAATAATATCAATAATAACTATACATACATATGAGGAAAATTACCTTATACTAAAATATGTTAGTTTTCAAATGAAAAGATTGCTAGTTTTAGCATATACAGGAACTCAAATATTCTCTCAACTTCTGACGTAGTTTTTGTGTATATAAAAAATGAAATCCTTAGAAGAAAGCACGGATGATTTTGGTTACTGTTCGAACATTTATCTAAACCTCACAAACTGAAGTATGCTAAACATTCATTAATAATTATATTCATATTAATAATTGTAAGTTTGGATTGTATGTAGATGATAATCAACCGTGAAATAGAATGAATTCATTTTATTCTGTAAACCTTGTTGTCGTTGCTGTCTAAGTTTATCAAGGGATCAAATTATATGAAAACAAGAATTAGTTTGCATTCGAGGTTGATAAGCTAATAAACCACTGCTGAGCACTAAACAGAAAAGATAATTCCTAATATCAAACGGAAATAAATGTTGTACAATAGACTTCGATGTTTTGACATAAAACAAACTTTAAACTATTTTTAATTACACGAATAAAAAGTGCGTCAAAGTTTAAAGGAATGTAAAGTTTAATACAGAAGTTATTTGAGTAGTACGATTTGACAAAAACATCTGCTTATATCGATAGCTGTGGATTATTCTAGGTCAACATTTATTGCTCGTGAGTTATGGTAGATCAAATATACATTTTAAGATAAACGATAATGAAATGTTCATTAATGATGAATAATTATAATCATAGAATAAATGAACTAGTGTTTAATAAACCTAACGCCAACGAAGTAGTAAGTGTCGACCCTTCTAATAATGTGATAATTGATGTCTGAAAGTTCAGTTTTTTACTCATTTGTCTTGTAAATCGACCACAGAGTGGAGATAACATGAAAAAGTTCTTAACGGATAAATAAATTGGCTTAATGTCTTGTTATTGAAAATTTAACCCGATATTTTAATAATTCTTACTGTTTCAGACTTAGCCATCATATGTATTGTATATCATAATGTTAGAGGAGTCTGTCCTCCGTAAATAATCTAATTATCTCAGGTGTTTGCAACATTTAGTTAATGAAACCTAGCTTGTCAAATGTTTTAGGGCGACAAGCAAAGAACGACAGTTGGCGAAGAGGTAATCTTACCGGAGGAAACGTCTGAACCATGCCAATGTTAGATGTCGTTTATACTTATCATTATCATCATTTTCAGGCATGAACAGCTTCTGGGAGTTTAACGATGGCTGATCTCTTCGTTGATAATGTAGCTGGGAAATATCAGTATGCATATTAGTGTCCTTAGAATTGTCTATCTGGAATCCTGTTGTCTTCTGAGGACTCTCCAATATATCTGTAACGTCATGTCCTTTCAAGAATTGTCTTGCAGCTACATCTAGACATGAATTGAAAAGCTTTCCATCTGTTGGATCTAAAATTGAAATCGACATATACAGCGAGAATGGTTAGATCAGGTGGTCAACAACGTCAGATACGAAAATATACTGTCCCTACATGAAGTCAGTCTACAGAAAACCCAATGATTTGTTATTTGCATTTTAGGCACCGAAAGGATCAGTACGTTACAGATAATCAAAATAATCAACAAGCACACTGATGAACATCTGCTATACAAAATATTACGAACAAGAACAATGTGTTCAATCGTTAATTTCGAACATTTAGATGATTACAACCGGAGGCCCTACACTACCCTACAAGGTTCAGAAAATCAGTCAGAACTCATGGAATAAAATCATAACCCTACTAACCACCTGAGGTTTTTCTTACCGTGCTCCTAATTTACCAGAGTATGTCATATTATATGGTAGACACGGGTAAGCAATATTTAACAACCACCTCAAGCAAAATTATTTTTGACTGGATTGTTGTTATTTTAATTCAGTACAAAGAACAGATATCGAAACTGTTAGCTGGATGACATGTGGCAAATCACTGGGGCTACATAGATAAGTTGTGGATTTAATAACAACTAAATAAATGTAAGTTTACGTACGTGGTACCACGGAAGATAGAGACTCGAATTCACTACAACCCGGTCAAGGGTTTGATACGTTAACAACAAGATTGCTTTTCCTATAGTGATTTTACAGTTGTTGCTCTTTTACACTAGCCGTGATAATCATCTTTCTCTTATTTCTCGTCTTTGTTTCCTTTAAGACTCTGTATCCAAACGGTGAATCGTTTCCATAATATATTAAAATGTTTTACCAAAACATTCCTTATTTGTAAACATTTTTAAATGGTGTACACTAGATTGTGTATTTACTAACTAACCGTTTGAACAGTTAATTAACAGTAATACAAATCAAACGAAAAGCCTAATAAGGTTAGTTTCACATTCAAAACAAAATCGAGTATGAATGAGAGTTTATCTATGGAAAATCAAGAAATATGATTCTGAACTAGTCATGTACATGTGATTTAAGACTCTGAAGAAATATATGCTAGGGAACCTACTATGATCACAGAGTATCATATGAATGGATTCTTTAGCGTTTCTTGATCATCTTATAAACTAAATACTTACATTTTAGCTTCAAAAGCAAAGGGTCACTTAGGAAAGTCATATGCTTCTGTTACATCTAAGTAACATAACCACACATATAAGTGGCGATCCGAAATGGATAGGGTTAAACTTCCGTATAAAGCCATGGTTACAAAAATTAAGTACAGTGTTATACTCACATTGCATTACTTTATAAACATTTGCCGATTTACTTTCGTGTAGTTTGACTAAATCACCTTAACTTTAATCTTATCACTCAAAAGCTTGACCTAGTTAGAATCCCGATCTTACTTAAATAGTAGCTTTTTAACGCTGTAGACAAATATGGCAACTAGTGTAGCTAAGTTGAAACTTCGCTTACCATTTGGACAAGTTCTTTTAAACATTAGAGTTTTAAGGGACTGCGTTACAGTGAAATTTTATGAAAGGTCTTAACATTAAGGTGTGCTGCCATTCTCATGAAACTTTCGAAAAGCACTACGAACCTAATTTTTCACCAGTCGGATTCAAAATTACTTTGTCTAGACTCTGTGCTCCAAGGATTATTGTTGCATTGATATCTATAGCCGAAATGGCACAATTAACTGTGTTCATGTACTGTTAGTCTAAAACTTTTGACCAAATAAGCCTCTAGAGAGAATGATATTATTTTGTGAGCTTTGCTTGATCCTTAGCAGTGTAGCCAGAATAAAAGAAATAATGAAATTTACAACGAATGGACGTGATCGACAGATATCATGGAGCAAGCTGGACAAGAGTATGGGCGGGTAGAGAAGTCACTTAGCTCCGCAACGAAAACTTGTTTTCCGGGGTCAGATATCAGTTATCATACTTGGTAGACATTTAAAAACTGCACGTTAGTTTAGTACAGGCGAAATCCCGGTATAGCCATCATAAACGTATTAAGTGGCATTTTCTTTCTGGAAATGAAGCCTACATCCAAACAAACCACATTGGGACCAACTATAAGCCAAATACATGTGTATTGAACGGCTTATTACAACATCAATGCCTTATCTTTGATCATTAGTGTCAAACATTTCGGGAGTCAACGAGCTAGTCATCTTAGACATATTAAAATGAGGGAATCAATTGTATCTACTATGGTAAACAAACTACCTATATATGAGACTAGATATCATTTCACCTAAGTCAGTAAATGAGAATTCGGTCAAATTGGAAAACGTCATGAAAACAAAGCCCACATAAAATAGAATTCACTAAACAGCAGTCACATAAAACCCACTGCTGGGTAACAGTTGAAGATATTAAGCTTGCTATTAACTAATCCATCGTAATATGAATCAAAAGCTCACTTGAAGCACAAATGTTCATGTTAGGTGTTGACGTGGACTTTGGGTGACCTTCCAGATGGAAAAAAGGCCTTATTTCGCTCAAACTTTCTTTGGCCCAATCAACTTCGCTTAAACATGATCTGAGCGCTTCTGCGACAGGACCGCCATGATTAGCCTGAGGAATGATTGGTTGGCCACACAACGGGCACAAAAAACCTGCTGGGGTTGTTGTTGGTGGCAAGCTCATCACATAATTATTGAGGCAATTCCAATGGAAAACATCTAGAAAAAGTTGTTTACTCAAATATAAGTTCTACATTTCACAAACCAAGGCACACTAAACGGATACATTTTTTGGAAGGATTCGCTTCGAAAGGCTCGTGACAAATGCTACATGACGGGTTAAAATCACTGTCTTTTATCCATCGAAGATAGGATTTAACAATGCACTATTGTAATAAAACTCATCAAGCATTTTCATACCTTGTGGTGATTTGCCACCAAACAAAACTCACACACGTTGACCCGGTGCTCGAAGCAAAACAGGTTAGTCACCCGTCTCCGTTCACACTTACATAAGCCCATTAGTAATTCAAGTCTACGACACAAACATCACCGAAATGCCAACAACTCAGCAACTTTAAGATTGTGTCACATGATATCCTTCAAAATTGAGTAATTAAAACAATCAGATTCAGATTTGTGTAGTAAGGAGAAAAGGCCTACGGACTATGTTATTTCTTTTCTAGTATGCTTCCGTGAGTGTCCAGTCTTCTCTTGAAAGAGTCAATTGAAGGTGCGGACACCACTGCTTCAGGCAGCAGGTTCCAAGTATTGATGACTCGGTGTGAAAACCTGTATGCCACGGGTATTTTGTTCGTTCTTGGCTTTTCTACTCGCCTGCTATGTCCTCTGAGGTGTCCCGATCTAGTGGGAAGAAAGAGAGAGAATAAGTTAGGTCCGAAATCATTTCTCAGTATTCTGTACATCAATATTAGATCTCCCCTTAGTCTGCGATAGGACAGAGTAAAGAGGTTCAGTTTTTCAAGCCGCTCTTTATATGATAAACCCGGAGTTCCGGAATTGCACGCGTAGCTGCCCTCTGTACCTTTTCTATTATGTCTGAGTCACTTTTAAACAGGGGCTTGCAGCCTGAACACAGTTCTCTAACTTAGTTCTCACTAAGGATGTGTATAATGTGGTGAACATGGTAGTATCAAGCTTAGTGAATGTCCTTTTTAAAGCCCAGAGGGTTCGAAACCCCTTAACTGCGACCTCCCGGCAATGGGCCGTCGTCTTAAGATCATTGCTCACTGTCACCCCTAGGTCCTTATGAGACCGGACTACGGGTAATGACACATCCCCTATGTTGTACGTATTAACCTTTGAATCCCCCAAGTGCATGTAGACACACTTTTCCGAGTTGATAGGCATTAGCCACTCTTTAGACCAGTTTATCATATTATTTAAGTCCGCCTGAAGAGTAAATGCGTCTTTGTCTCCAGTTATTACTCGCCAAATTTTTACATCGTCAGCGTATAATAACATTGGAGACTGTACTATACTTGTAAGATCATTAACGTACATTATAAAAAGTAAAGGACCTAAGACGGAACCTTGGGGTACTCCACTAAGTACTGGTCTCCAGATGGAGCACTTGGAATTTATTCTTACTTTTTGCCTACGACCTACTAGGAAATCCTTAATCCATTTTAAAAGAGGTCCGGCAATACCAAGGTTTGTCAACTTCAATAGCAGCCTATTAGTTGGCACCTTGTCAAAAGCCTTACTGAAGTCTATGTAGACAACATCCACTGAGTTTCCGTTGTCTAGCGCATTAATCCAGAGCTCCCTAGCTATAAGGAGGTTCGTTGTACAGGATAGACCCTTTCTAAAACCATGTTGTGCCATGTTCAGCAAGTTATTGGTTTCCATAAATGCTGTTATGGTCCGTTTGATTATTCTTTCCAGTATTTTAATTACAACACTGGTGAGGCTTACGGGTCTGTAATTTGATGGAACTTGTCGTAGGCCTGTTTTATGTATGGGAGTGACGATTGCGTCCTTCCAGTCCATAGGTAACACACCTTGGTCAAGTGACATTTTGAATATCACAGTCAGTGGGGCTGCGATATATTGGGCAATATGTCTCAAGATTTTAGGGTGTAGTTCATCTGGTCCTGTTGACTTCTCCATGTTTAGGGTGCTAAGAGCCTTAAGCACATCGTTTTGGTCGAAGTCCACGGTGAGCAGCTGGTTTGTTGACTCTGTAATTGGGTCTGGTTCTTTCTCTAGAGGAGGTTCCTGAGTGAAAACTGCCCCAAAGTAGTCAGCCATAACCTCAGCTTTTTCCTGATCTTCCTCTATCATTTCAGATTCACTTCCTACTTTAATTAGGTTGGGAATCCAATGATGAATCCTTGTTCTGTAGTTTATGTACGAGAATATCCTCTTGGGCTGCTTGAGTGCAGATTCTGCCAGCTGCATTTCATATTTTCTTTGCGCTTCCCGAATTTTAGTTATACACTCGTTTCTTATCGATCTGTAACGTTCCATCGTACCCGCTGTGCCAAGGCGGATGGCAACATCCCAGCATTTCTTCTTTTGTCTTAGTAAGCGTCGAATATCCCGCCCTATCCAGGGATGTCCGTGCTTCTTTTTCTTTGGGACAGTCCAGGGTATGTATGGTTGAGTTACCCGATTGTATAACTGCCTGAATAGAGTCCATGCCTCTTGTACTGATGCCTTTGAGTCAATTTCCCAGTTCTCAGCCGATGCTGCGGAGTTAATTGCCTGCATATCTGCCTTCCATATGTTAGGACGGGCCGGCGCAATTGTTTGACAAGCAATCTCAGCCATGAATTTGAATAAGATGACTGCATGGTCACTTCTCCCAAGTGGTGGGAGAAAAGCCGTTTGACCAACGTCATCACCGTGTGTGAAGACTAAATCTAAAAGAGAAGAGTTTCTTAAGTCGTATCTTGTGGGATCTCTAATGTGTTGGAATAATGCTAGTCCAATCGAGGTTTCTAACAGTTTGGAGTCGAACGACGATATGGATGACCCTACTTCTAAGTTAACCCAGTTTATATATGGTGCATTAAAGTCGCCTACTACAAGGCTTTTACCGTTGTTACACCAGGACTTAAGTTTACTAAGGAGAAAATCATCTGCTACACATTCTGGACTGCGATAAACTACAACTACTTCAATATCTTGCCTTCGGCATTTCAACTTACATCTCACCAGTTCACATGTCCCTGAAACATGTGCTACTGTCTCAGCTAATCTTATGGTTAGGGTACTTTTGGTGTACAAATAACCCCGCCTCCCCTTCGGTTTAATCTATCAGCCCTACTGGTTATGAAACCAGTCAATTGGATTTCACTATCTAATACTTCTGACGTTAACCAAGTTTCCGAGACAGCGATAACGTCCGGTTTTTCTTTGTCCACCACTGACTTCAGCTCCGCCATTTTATTTAGTAGGCTGCGAGCATTTGTGTAGCACACTTTTAAGTCTGTGGAGAGCTTTCCCTTGCCACCCAGAGTGGCTTGGGGATCGTTTTGCTCCGAACTTTTACAATCTGAAAACCCTTAAGAACGAGGTTTCTTTCACCGTTTCGGCGACGCTCGTTTATTTCCGCTTCTGCAGCTCTTCTCTTAATACGATCAGCTAGGCTGAGGTCCTCACGGACATATATTCCGGATCCAATCAGTTTACGTGAATTACTTAGAATCAGGTTCCTTTCTTCCACCGTGTTGAATGTAACCTTTAGGAGGCGGTTTTTCTGAGGACTTTCGGAATCCACCTTTTTTCCTATTCTATAAAGCTTACAAATACTAACTCCTGAAACTGTATCTGGGAGTAGTTTACTTAATGATGTCTTAATATGATTGAGATCATGTTCAAATCTTGCCTTTGGTTCAGTATCTGAAGATTCTCTTATCTTATGAAAAATGACTGATCTATCAGAGAGATCTGTCTTTTCACGCGGTGAGGATTTTTCTTCTGATAACATCCCTTCCAATGTTTTGCTGACCAGCTGCGTTTTGCCTACAGCCTTTTTCTTCTTTTTTTTTTCTTCTTACCGAAGTCCATTTGTCACCACTCAGAACAGCCACACCTGGACTATGTGGAACGGTGACAGTTTTATCCGGATCTTCTATTTCGACTAGAGGTGTATGACTGCCGATGTCATTATCAAGCGACACTTCATTTCTCGTTAATGTCAACGGAGATTTCACGTTCCCGTCAACCGCAGTCAGGTGTTTAATGGGTCCAGTAGCAGCACTTACTACACTGACACATTCTTCATCGTCAGTGCTCCTGTTATCAGTGCTTCCGCCATCATTTTTCTTGCAGGCCAAAGCCAATAGGCCCATAGCCTCCTGTATTAGTACCTTTTTATCCGTACAGCAGAACATACAAAGCCAATGCGAGTTAGGCTTCGAGCATCTTTTGTAAGCCGTCGGACTTAGTCGTGTACACATTTTGTGATACCACTTTTTACAGTCGTCACACTGCATTCCCTCCTCAACGGAGAACAAACAATTTGGTTGCCCACATTTGTGAGTCTTACCAACCATTGTAATTCGATTTAAAAGGTTTAAAAACAAAAAATGATAACAATGTGAACACAAGTGTTAGTCAAGGACTAAAAACAGGTACTCAGGACAAAATTTAGTAAAAAATTTCAAACTTTAACCAAAGAACTCTTAGTTAAAGTAGACCAAGAATGCTTTTTAGTGCAATAAGTACCAAAAGCAAGTATAATCACAACAAGTACAAAAATCACTGCCCTTTTTGAAACTAGCGCTTCACTTTGAGAAAAGGTTACATGTAGTTATCTAAACATCGATCGGATGACGAAAGGGCTTCTTAAGACCGAAAAAGTATAAACTGAGGTCAAAATGCGTATTTCGTATTATCGTTTTATAAGATTCTGCCTAGTATCTCGTGTGTTACTATTATTGGGCCACATGAGCTGACTTTTTCTGCTTTTAATATCACGAGACTTGCCACTTTAACTTCACAAATTTTTGAGACCTTCTTCATCTTTGGTCACTTGATTTATGGTGAAACATCGTTCGTTTGGCAGTTTGGTGAGTTGCTTGCAATCAAACGGCAAAGTTCAAATTCACTATCCTTCAGCCGAAACAACCATGCACTAGAAACTAATGAGAAGCATAAAAATTATTCGATCACAAAGGCTCTACCATGATTCTTCTTATCAAATGATAGATAGGTTATATATTTAGGAAGATAATAAAAGTGTTGACCTGTGTCTGGGCCACTAAGGCATTTAGCATGATAAGAGACACATTACGTGAAATTTGTCACAGGAAGAATATTTATCAAACCTTCTCTCAGCTTTGTAACTTTCTTTGCAACTACTTGGTGAATTTCTATTCATGTTTTCATGGGAACGAGGGTCATCGTCAATCAAACGCCTACTTGTATGGCCTTGGCTCATAATCGAATTAAATCACTAAGTAATTTAGTAGAATTTCGGGTGTCTTGGAAGTCGATTTCATGTACTGCCTTATTACTAATACGTGCAAATATTCTTCAGTTTTTACGACTGCATATTGGTTGACGAACTCTACTGTTAAAAGTGTTGAACAACGTGTAACAACTAAACTACGAATTTATGGCCATCCGAAAATTT